GCTGATTACCACCTTAATTAAGGGTCTAGAGTGTACGGAATTGGGCCTCCTGGTAGCCTATGGGGTGCGGTTTATTATTATATTAAGCGGATAAAATTTAAATGCGTTTGCGAAGTGATATTACCAATTTAATCTCTTTAGTGATTAGGCTTAATTTTGATTGCAGAATAACTCTGGAACTATTAAACCTAGCTTGATCAAACTTCAGTAGCGTCAGGTCTACCCTAAGGACTTTCAAGTTTATAAGTAAGAAGTTTCCCGGTAGAATATTAACGAAGCTACAAGCGATCGTAAAAAACACGTGGTCTGACTGTTGTTGTTTTCACAGATTCACACTGTTTTCCACTCCTAAAATTTAAAATTTTCGGTTGTAATAGCAGTATTTGTAGCGGTTGAACTCCTTGTATCTTCACGAACAAATAGACACCACTCTGACCCTCCTAGAACCAAAATTGCTAAAGTTATAGGCAGATATGTGCAGAGCTCACTTACACGTGCTGCTGACGCGGCCGCTCCCGTGGCTCCCAAGTTTGTAAATACTAATAGGCAAAATGAGCTCTAATACTCGTACCACACGGGAAGAGAAAATGGCATTTACCTCTTAATGCCTTCAAAATGAATGTCATTCGCGCGGTGCCACATGGATGAACGAAATGCCATTCATCAACTAATGCCATTGCCAGAACTCATTCGACTAAGAAATGCGTGCTGCATACTCTCGACGGCACAGTTGGTGAAGTAATTGTATAAAATGACATTTCATTTGACTGGAAGGAAACTTTTTGCATAATTTATTTACACTAATCACTTAAACAAGTACTTAAAAACTTATCTTCAGCTGGTAGACGCTGTAAAATAAATGCGACAGGTGCCATTTGTTTTTACGCTGCGGATCTGACTAGCTTTGGCTTAAGTTGCTACATGGTTGGTTGCAACTTCAAGAAACAAAGTAACGAACAAATTCTGGCGGTAGCGTAATATGCTTATCTATGCATTTATTTATTATCTGATGTGTATGAAGCTTGTAAACGCTTGTTTAATTTTTTTATTGCTACTCGCCCAATGCTCACAAGGAAGGTGCTGCGATTGCCATCATCAAGTCAAATGTCATTCGCTTGGACGTGTAGCAGCGCCGCCGAAGGAAATGTCATTCAGAAACTAATTGCTTTTGCTATCGAATGTCGTTTTCTATGCCCGTGTGGCACGGGTATTACATACTTCATTTGCTCATTCACAAGGCGGTCCACCAAGTTCAGCAGCTCAGTGCTCACTGAAGCGGACTGCAACAATGACATCATTGGCCTTTGGTGCAAGCAAGGCATCAAGGACACTGAAGCTGTGTGCATACTGTGTAATACCACAGTTTCTTGTGCTATGCATGGTACTGCAGCTGTTCAGCGCCATGCTAGAACAAAAAAAGTATCTCGAAACGGCGGCAAAGCACAGAGATGGCAGTGGTGTTCTTAAGGCACACAAGATGGTGCAAGCCACGATAGACTTATCACAAGGAACATCTTTTGCATCTCACTACAAGGTCGTGTTGTCAAAGCTGAGGCAGTATTCGCCATGTCTGTAGCTTCTAAAGGTATATCATATTCTCGGGCGGACACTGCCACATAGATCTACAAGGTGATGTTATCCAACAGTGAAGTTGCAAAGAACTTCAGCTGTGGCAGACATAAGTTGTCATGTGTCATCTAGTCCTCTCTGATGGACTTGGACCATAGTTCAAGGCAAAAGTCATCACAGAGCTGTGTCGGCCAGGTGTTTTCTATTCAACGATGATAGACGAGACACCCAAGCCCGAACAACGAATGCAGCAATTGGACATCCAAGTCAGGTATTTCTCAGAAAGTAAGCAACAAGTTACAGTTGAGCACCTCATGTCGTTTAACCTCGGTCGGGCTACACGAGACATTATAGTCGATCATATTGAAGAGGCGTTGGCCGAACTGCCAAGAAATGGATTGCTCAGCTTCTTTAGTGATGGTCCTAACGTCATGAATAATGTGAAATCAAAGGTGAAGCAAAGGGTGAATGCGAACTTACTTGACATTGGTGAGTGTAGCTTACACAAAGTACATAACGCATTTGCCAAGGGACTTGATGTGTTTTGTTCAGATGTCGAAGAACTAGTGCGGGATGTTTATTATTCCTTTAAACATGCTGTGCGAGCAGAAGTCCTGAAAGAACAACAGGAAGTTCTGAATACAGCACCCCATGTGCTTCTTCGCCATGTCTCGAACCGGTGGCTGACACTGCAAGATTCGCTGTCTCGTATTCAGGAGCAGTTTCCGGCAATTCGTCACTACTTCTTGAAAGATGTTGCTGCGAATCGGCGATTTGATGCCCAGACCCAGCATAAACGCCTTGCTTCAGCTTTCAGCAGCAGAACACTGTATACAAAAGTTCTTTTCTTGAGGAATACTGCGGAACTATTTGCCGGGTTCCAAAGGCTGTTTTTGAAGCAAGAACCACTTTTTCACTTCCTTCATGAGGAACTTGTGGCATTGGTACAGCGGGTCCTTAATCGAGTTCTGTGTGGTGAGGTTTTCTGTGAAAAAAGTGCACAGGACCTAATGCAGCTCGACTTGGATGACTCGGCTCTCTGGAAGGCGCAACCAGAGCTCGGCGCAGACACTGAAAAGGCGATGGATGCTTGGGATCCAGTTGAAAAAAAGGCATTCCGCCTTGGGGCTCTTTTTTTTTTTTTTTTAGCATGTGGAAAGGCCCTCCTGAAGACTCTCCCCTTGGCCAACAAGGTTATCAAGCATGCCAGGTTTCTCACACTAAACTATGCAAGTATCAATAAGGAAGTACAGTCGGTGCAATACCTTGCCGGACAGCTGCCAGGAGTCGTCACTGATCTCTAGTTGTCGTCACTCATCGATGGGTGGCACCTGTTCAGGTGCGGGGATCGCCAAGGCCCTCTGAGCTTGGAAGAGAGGGTGGATGATTATTGGTCAAAGGTGTTCTTGCTGAAGTCTGCTGCAGGTGGACAGAAGTACCCACTCCTCTCGAAGTTCATCAAGGCGCTGTTCTGTCTGCCTCACGGAAGCGCAGCTGGCATGCGCCAAGTGAAAACTCGCCTTATGGCGTTATGGCGGGGACGCCACACAGGTACCCTTTGATCCCGACCTAATTAGAGCTGTCAAGAAGTCTTGCACTAAAGATGCATTGAGGTTGAACGCACAGGCAGCCACTAGTACATGCAAGACAACAGAGCAAGACAGCCTTCCTCAGCAGCCTCGGCTGGCAGAAAAGAAGCTTCTTGAGGATCAAGTGAAAACAAGCAAGGCACTGCTCAAGAGTGCAGAGGCACTTGTTAGTTCTGGCATGAAGCATAAAGACCTTGACAATCGAGAGTGGCCAAGTTCGCCTCGTAAAGGGTTACAATGAACTACAGGACACTTTGGAGAAGCTCGAAAAGCAGATCAATAAAAAGGCAAATCGGTAATCGCCTAAATGGTAACGCTTATTTTGAGCAAAGACGTACTGCTGTGCAACTAATAGTTCTTGTGCAGTCGGTTCATGCTTAGACAATCTACTGAAAAAAAAAAAAAGATTCCTCCAAAGTCTGTTTGTGTGTTGTGTATATTTAAGCCGAATAAAATATGATCTAGTCCTCTCAAGTTGCTACGAATGTATTCTTTCAAGCTCCGAAACCGACCTAATACATGCCACTAACTGCTCCAAAACAAGGTTCTTCTGCTCCAAAATTGAAATTTTGCTTCTCCCAAAACTGCTCCCAAATCAATTTTGGCCGTCTCGCCACTGTTTCTGTAAAAAAGGTAGCGCCACCTAAGGTGTGATGCCCTGTCCTCGTCACATGCAAGTCTAGGTGATCGCTGGGCTACGAATAGCCACACGCTTGCAGTCACAAAATGGCTATTTCGCTTGTGTGTAGCTGAGTGCCATATCATGAAAAATAAAATATAAATAAAATAGAGTCAAATTTTCTCGATGCTGCTGATATTTTTGTCGATTGTTCGTCGGATATTGGGTGTGCAGTACCTTTCGTGTGCCAGTGAAAGGTGCTAATGTTCTTTTGTTCCCGGTGTGTCAAACATTGGTGTCGTATTTACAGGACGGCTCCGAAACCATCGTTTGAAAAAAATTTTTTTTTAATAAAAGCCTTATCCAGTTTTCTGAGGTCATACAAGCAGTGATTTTAGGGAAATGATTTAGTTTTGTTGATTTTCCTAAGTGTGGGCATATATGGGTTAACGGTTCTGCTGGAATAAACTTTTTGTGCGAAAGTGACGATTTGATAATGGATTTATCTGAAAATTTGCTATGAGCGTGTATTCTTCACCTTTCAATAATGGCAGGACTGTTTTTTGTTCACCTAGTTATTATGGCCATTGATCTGTTATATTTGCCTTTACGTTAAAGGGGCCTTGCAACACCATTTCAAGTAGCCATGAAATGAATTCACAAAAGAAGCTTACTATCTTACGAATTCACCACACCAAAAAGTTTTAGAATCCGTCCAGTATGGGCAGAGTTGCGAACTTTTGTAGCATGCTGCAATCGCATTGTCTCTTCGCTCCTCTTGACGAAAGCACTGCAAGCTAAGTAGGGAGGGATAGCACATGCAAAGGAAGTGTGTCAAGGGCACCTCGTGATCGTAAATGCTTTTTTCATTCTTTCCTTTCTTGTATACGCCAATTTCTCTCACATGTGGACAAGTTGCCGCCTCCCGCAGCGACACCTGTAATAATCGAGCATGCCATGTTCAAATCAAATAGATCAATGGCTGATGATATAACAGCTTTGACGATTTTTTTTTTTTGAGGTACTTTGATCATTTATCACGAGAAAAGAAAGCAATTTTTAGCTGACTTTAAAAACTTATTGCGAATTCCAGGCCACGTGCTGCGCTACAATATTTGTCTCGTGCGTTCTTGGGAGCCTCTACTACCGATCGGCAGTGTTTTCTGACCCTGCTGAAAAAGTGTTGCAGAGCCCCTTTTAAGGTTACTGTATTGCACACGCAGACTGATGACCCGCAAGCGCGAATGGGTCCAGCCCCGGCAGGCCCAGCGCCGCCACCTATGGAACCAGCTTCGGGAGGAGTGGAAAATCCAGGCCGTCGTGGAGGGCGCGCTGGAAGTCGATGACAACGTGCTGCCTCTGCTGGACGGTGTCAGCCTGGAGCTGTCGATCGGCAACCTGCGCGCTCTGCGGAAGAAGCTGCAGGACCTTCACGTGCAGGCCAGCAAGTGGGTGTCCCGCCTCTGTTTCAATCGTAATTATTGTTGCCTCAAAGTAAGCACGACTTGATTGTTTGAGATGCTACCCCTCTGTTTTAAATACGAAGCAGCTTATGGCAGAGTTCGATTCGGTGCGTGGGACCACCCTTGCTGCGCATGCTTAAGCCCGTTAGGCCAGAATGCACCAGTGCATTCCAACCTGTCTAAGGAGCTGGGTAAGATGCTGCGGTCTCTCCCCCCCCCCCCCCCCCTTACAATCTCTCGGCAATCATGTGACGGCGTCGTGGAACGAGATTCTGCAGACTCGCGACAGAACCCAAGTGCTGTCATGTAGCGTGGCAGTGAACCTGTGCGGCATGCTTCAACAGAAGTTCGGGACGACAGGAAACTACAGTGAATTCATGGTGTGGTCTACCGTGTAATTCTTTTGCGTTGTTAACATCGTCTACGTCAATTCTCGCCTAAATTGTTCACATTTTAAAACGTAATCTTGAATTGCCTCTGAGGGTTGGAGAGGAAACACATCCTGCGTGTAGTGGACACTGCTGTGTACAGCTCGGCCAAACTTTTCTCGCAACCGCACGGCAAAGTGGCGATTTTCTCGCTTCGCTTCATTCAGACATTTCCTTTCCCTTTAGAGCCATCAGCACCTGTCGTGTCACATTGGACAGTGGGTAAAGAAATTCTTAGAAATTATGTATTTGTAGTTCTGAAAAGAGACATACTCCAGCTGACCTTTTTTGCTTTAATAAAACTTTACAGAGCAGTTTGTGCGTGATGCTCTCATTTTATGCATTCTTGTATGATTCCTGAATTCTTGTGAGCTCCGTAACGAGCTTCAGTGCTGCAAATTCGCCCCATGAAGCTTCTGTTTATTACACCCAGTGTAGCATATTTGAAACGTTTTTGTGGCGAGGCTTTGCGTGGCTATGAGGCAGAAAAATTTGGCGAACCGCGAGTGCGCAGAAATCGTAATGAAGTGTATGCTAGCATACGCTACCTGGAAGGGTGTCGACGCTTTGACTAGTTTTTTTGCAGGTTTTGTTAGCATATGTACTCAAACCTCATTGTAACGAAGTTGCATCTTACTGGAAAATGTTTGTTATAATGGTATCTTCGTAACACTATATCAATTGCAAGACTATTTCAATCAAAATCAATACAGTAAACTTTCAGTAAACTGAACCAGAAGGGACCAGAAAATTATGTTCCATTTAGCAGGAGTTCCGTTTGCTGAGAGCTGAAAATTGGTGCAGAATACAAGCCCGAAACTGAGCATTGCAGAGGCAATAGTTCCGTTTAAGCAGTAGTTCCGTTTAACAAATTTCTGTTTACTGAGAGTCTACTGTATATACCAATAGATGCATCAATTGCAAGGCCAGGTTTGGGTCTCAAACCTTGATATAAGGAACACGGATATAAAGAAATAACGGTTATAGTGAAGTAAATGAAAAATAGTCTTGCAATAGACGAGTGGTAATTAACCTTTAGAACGAATTTTCGAAGATAAGTTAGTTTCTTGCAAAATGCAACGTTGTTATAATGAGTTTTGAGTGTACAGCTAAAAATGATATCTGCCGCAGCATGAATGGAATTGCTGCTTGTAAAAATCATTTGGGTGTTCTTCGAAAAGGACGCCAAAGAGAAAGCCTATTTCTCTCGTACTAGCAAATCGCTCATTCACAAATGCCGAAATCACCATGCTTGCCGCGAGGAGATGCTTCGTTGGTAGAAAAACTTTCAAAGAAAGGAGATGCGGGTGGCGACGGCACAGTGTTCTTTCCACACCAGTTGCCATGATGTATACATTGACAGCGTTTACTAGGGACTGTGCACACTCGAACCTCAGTATAACGAACCCATATATAGCAAAATGTTGGTTATAATGAAGTAATTTAAAAATGGTCCTGCAATAGATGTAGTGTGAGAAGTATACTTTCATAAAAAAATTTTTTGATAAATGAAGTTATTTTGCTACAAGATGCAACTTTGTTATAGTGTTGGAGTGTAGTTCCTAATTGGTAGAAGTGGTGTACATTGTCTCCCGATGTGGCCAGAGACTTATCATAGCAAGTGTCAGGAAGTTTCTATTCAGCTTGAAATGTGGCCATAATATGATAAATACACTTAGATATCCATGGCACCATGGTGGGTCATTTTTGTGGAAGCGTTAAAAATGGAACTGATAACTGATACCTTGATTTTATCTTCTATTATTCCAGCTACGATGGTGAGAATAATGATGTTTGAATTCTCAGAGTAAAATTTGTTCATCTAAACTGATTCATTGCTACACGACTATTGAATAACATCGCTAGCACCCATCTCTTAGATTGCTGATGGAGATACTAAAAAGCTCAAAAACAGCAGATTTTTATGTAGATCCTAGGTCTGTATAGACTCCGGCGCCGTGCCTTTTGGCCTAGCTGGTTAACCTTTCGTATGGATCGCTTGGTTGGCAACTTTTCTCCTTGCTGTTACAGCTGTCGCACCTCGACGGAGCGGATGATCCGCTGCCCGGTGTGTGACGTGATGTCCCTGAATCCATACGACCTGCTTCAGCACCTCCGCACCAAGACCCACATGGATAAGGAGCGTCAAGTACTGGACCTCTGCGACGAGAAGTCTGCAGAGATGAACCAGGCGCCCTCAAACTCCAAATAGAAGGGTGTCGACACGTCCAGATGCCTTCGAAGCTTCATCTAAGGTTTAAGGATGGGCTTACCAGTCGAACTGATGACACTTCTACTTTTTGTGTATCGAGGGATTTCTTGCTTTGGTTCGACAACTATTGGTCATTGTTTTAATGACGGAGTGTAGCAAAAGAATGCCTGTCGAAAGAGTTGCAGTGCTATGTGTACATTTTGTGGGGTCCCATTGTCTTTGTGTGCAAGCACGCGGCGGTCAGTTTCGGCTCACCGCATTGGCCCGAGAAGCATCGCCAAGTTGCTTATTTGTAGCTTCGGCATTCAGTGCAAACGCGACCACTACATGCCTCCGCAAAACATTGCTGGTTGCATCTCGCTCTTTGTGGAGATGATGAACACTTTCTTTTTGCTTCGCGTAACAGTAAGGTTTTTCAAAAATGGATCGGCATTTTAGTGCAATAGGTATGTATGGAATGGCAGGCGAGTTGAGTGGGCAGTCTTCTATTCATGCCTCGCGTGCTTTTCTAAATTTCGTCATTGGCTTCAGCTCTCTGATTGTGTTCAGGGTGCAAACATTGAATCTCCGAGTGTCCATTGAAAGGCTAAAGGTATGCAAAATACCTCGTAAGGGTCAACAGTTTAGGTCATTAGTCATCAGTTGTGGTTACACTAGGAGCAACTGTGAGCCACATTCGCAACATTACGCTGTACGTAGATGTGTACTGATTGACAGTTTCCTTCAAAAATGCCTCGCATCAACCTATATTGAAGAGGAAGAGGCAAGAATCGTGCCGCTTTATATTCAATTCGTCTAAACTTTGTGCTCTATTACAAGTATCGTTGCAGTCAAAAACTGAGATACCTATTCCTCCTTATTGTTTTTGCAGAATGTCATGGCCAGAACAGGCTGATTATGTCCCTATTTTGTGATCACATTTGTTAGTTTGCCATTTGTGCGTGCAAGTGTGTGTTGTGTTGTGCTTATGTTAGGCACGTGTATGTATGCGTGTGTGTAAGGGTGGGGGGGGACAATTTTCAGGTATTCAGAGACGTGGTACGTCCCTTTATTACGGAATTTGACAGCCAAGATGGTAGCGAACTATTGATGCATATTATCAAAGACGAGATCAAGTTTGTCTTGCTTGTAGAGCAGCTAAGAAAATTGAAACAGGTTCACCATGAAAAAATATGAACTGACAGCATCAGGTCCTTGTTGCTTATTTAAACATGAACTTGATATTGGCTCCCTCATCCTTGTCCTGTCATTGCGTTATATGACTTCCTTGTTTGAAAGCATGCTGTACCTGAACATTGCAAGTGCTTTGTAATTGGTTCTTAATTGTCTAACATAATGAGTGCTATTTTTGTCCTTGTATGCAAGTCCACGCTGCGAATAGTTAAGACGCATTTTAGTTTTTATCGTCGTTTCAACAGTCACGAGCCTGTGATCACACTAGCCAAACATTTGTCGCATTCAAATGTAGACATTCACACTTCATCTCGTTTGCTGATACATTTTTCATTTATCTTGCAATCTCGCAAGGGAATAGATAGCATTTTCGTTTGTTCATAATAAAGTGTTATCACCAAGGTCTGGGGCTGTACTTTTTGTCTAACCGTGGGCCCAGGGCGAAATGTTCTGGCTTAGGATTGTCATCTTTGTTTTTTAGCGTCAAAGCCTTCGAAAAGACTCTGCCAAGTCTTACAGCATTTGTCCGCAGTGCAAGCGCTCTGCTGAATACTTTTCTTTCGGGTCTATTTTATTACTAGGCTTGTGCAAATAGTAAGTTTTACGTTTTAAGTGAACAGTGATTTGGTCGAATAACTTCCAATTGTATTTTAATGCATTATTATATTCACATATTACAAAGAAAAATTACCATATTTCTCGTGACCCAGACAACCTGTGCAATATATCTTTAATTAAAACAAGGCATATGCAAATGTCATTCATTGTGGTTCGCAGGAAATAGAAGCAACCTTGAATAGTAGCACTAACTAACGAAATTAGATCTAACTTTCGGTAAAATGCAAGTGATTACCTGTAAAGTATGTTGAGCTTTAAAATGTACTATACTTAAAGCATATAGGCCAGTGTAACATGCATTTTTTTTCTATTTAAGAAATGTTGAATCGATGCGTGCGTCATTTGTTCATTTACCCTTGCAGTGTGGATTTTTCTTGGACATGTGTATCCATGATATTGCACTGCAGTCAAACTGCATGTACAGGAGGTTAAATGCAGACTTTGTTAATTTCGAATATTTCTGAATTTCCTACAATTTAAGTGAACTTTAGAACTGTAATATTCGATCCAATATTGGGAAGTGCTAAACTATTTGCGCAGGCTCATCATCTGCATAATACTGCTTGGCCTTGCACTAGGTACAATTATTAAATCTCGTTGACATCGCTTTCATGAGAACAGGGAAAATTAAACTATAAGGAAACTGTATTGTTCGGAGTAGGCTCCCGACAGCCCCAAGTGCCCACAGTCGGGAGTGTGTTGCACCTGTGAAAGAAGAAAACAAAAGGGAGCATTACCTCGCACGAGTGAAGCCCACCACGTTGGCCCAACACGTGATCGAAATGTTGAAGCTCACGGTAGGATTTGGTACTCTCGGTGGTGTTCTGTTTTCGTATCCCCTGCGGGAGTCGGACGGTCTGTGCCAAACAAGCTCGTCTTGATTAAAAGCTACCGGGTGCCACAACCCCGAAGTCTCTACAAGTCTCGTTGAGCGCGCGATCTCGCCGCAGAAGGTCGTGTGCAGGGCCCACGCCGCTGGCTTCGAAACAAATTGGCTTGCCGAGGCTGGCTGCACAACGTCGTGTTCCCTCCTTTTTTTTTTCTTCCTCCATGGTCACGCCTTTCCGTTCGTGCGCCAATGAATCTGCTCTAGTCTAGATGAGTTATATTCCTTTTTGATGCGAACATAATGCTCGATGCGTCACAAGTAAAAGAATGTTCACTTATTGAGTCTCCTCTAAACTTAGTAAAGTGGAGATTTGAGCTGCTAGTTGGTACTCAACGATTTTTTTACGTAAAAAAACTTCTTTAAAGGACTGTATGTGTTTTGTATTCATTTTGTCGCTTGCAAGTTTCTTGCGCTAAAGGTGTTCAATGCTAACAGGCTCTAGTTACACATCGTAGTCACACTCAATTTTATGGATTGAATTGAGAGTGAGGCTATGACACTCCCACTGACAATTTCTCTGCACGTCTGCTGCAAAATCTTCACAGCTTTGGGCGTTAACCATGTTGTTTGTGGTTCGTTGGAGAATTACTCAACCTATTACTGGGATACAAGGCTACGTCTCAGTATCACGCAGCGTCAACGAAAATGAGTAAATAAGCCAGGGAATGTATAGGGTCATTGTACTCTTTGAAGTATATTGAAGTAATTGGGATAAAGATGTGAAGAAAGTAAAGATGAGAAAAAAAGTAAAGACCACTCGCTTACGGCAGGCACCGAATCTTCTAATTATTCAGGGAAGCAAAACAGTACCACAAAAAAGTTCACTTCCACACTGTTGTTGTCAAGTGTTGGGTGAGAAAAGCTACCACATTTACCGTAAAGAAATGCGTTGCTCCTATATCTCATTGGCTGAAAAAAGAAATACAAAACGTATTGTGCTAAGTTGCATTGATGAAATCCTGCTGTAATTTGGATTAACTTAGGCCAACAACTAGTCATTTTTAAGAGGCAGTACAAGGAAAGTTTATTTCCACTATCGGCGAGGACTGTCGTGGTGATGACAAATCGAGAAAACGTCGGATGCAAACACATCTCGACGCTGCTAGAGCTTGTAAGCGTTTCAGCTTGTAGGATGTCATGTCTGCGTACTTAAGAGGGCCGCGGCTGCATGTTGAGGAGAGTCATGCCAGAGTACTGGAAATGGAAGGAAAACGGCATGATCAGTACAGATGCTGAGGCTTTGTTGGATAGCATGCACGACAACAAACTGACTGCGAGTTTGACCTCGCATTGCACAGCACTATATTGTTGCATTGTAGAGTGGAATAGAACTGCTGGAAGATCTAGGTTCAAGCCTTGTTCTTTAAAATTTTGAAAAGGGTTTATTTCATCCAATAAAGCTAGCTTTCCTGCTATGCAGTTTGAACAACTAATGGCAGCTTGTCATTTATTGCAGATAGCCTGCTCAAGCGCGGTTCGCTTATGCAATGACATGGAAAGTGTAGAGTCTCCTCTCTTAATATAAATACGCATAGTCGAGCCCCTGCACCTTCAACTTATACCGCGTGTTTGTTTGAAGCATGATAGGTGCCACCATTTCATGTTCCAATATGCAGTACAAAGAAGCTCACTTGCGAATTATGTATGGAGCGGCGCACTTCCCTGTGTTTGCTGCAGGTGCGCTGGGATTTTCTCGTACTGCCAAGTCGTGCTTGTCTCCAAAAATACATCAAGGTATGTGACTATATATGGTGATTGTTCCTAATGTTATTTTGTTCACAGGGATTCACTGCTGCTTATGGGTTTAATACTAAACTCCTCAGCTGTCTGAAGGCCAAAGTTAAAAACCTGGACGAAATGAAGAGGCATGGAGGCATATAGTGGACGAGATAAAGCTCTCTGCGCATCTGGACATGAAGTCGTAATATTTATATTGAAGGTTTTGTAGACCTTGGCAAGTTCACCGATGCCGCTGAAAGACAGAAAAAGGCTGACCATGGGCTGGTCATAATGTTACAGTCATTTGTGGGGAAATGGACCCAGATCATTGGTAATAATTTCTAGTACTGCCAAAGCACATTTGTCAAAACATCTTGTAATGTTCTGTTTCTCTTCAGGTGTATTTTCGTCCAGCAGGAATGTGAAAGCCAGGCTAACTGACAAAAATTTTAATAGAGGCAACAATTCTATGCGAGCAAGTAGGCCTCACTCAGACTCAAAAATTTTATTGGTAACTTTAGTTGCATCTTTCTCGATTTTTCTGTCACACACAAGATGGTGATTTTTCGCTCGCAACCAACGATGACGAGGCTGGAATTTCTGCGAAACGAGCTCTTCAATCGTACCCTTTAAAAAATCAGCAATGGTCAGAGCACGTCGATAGCAGAGTTATGCAGTCATAGAAATTTTTTTGTGTGACTCGTCGTACATTCTAGCCTAATCGTTCATGCACATTGAAAACAACTATTCTATTCATGACTGCAGTAGGTGAAATTATTTTGATATGATGTTAACAAGAATGTGCAGAAAAGTTTGAACATGTACTTGGGCATCTTGCTCCGAGTGATAACTTCGTTACAATAAACCAGTAAAAAACAGTCACCGTAAACAGGTGAACCCACTGCTTGTGCCAGAGCATCCATGTACAAGGAGCAACTATGAAGCGACATTATGGTGGCTTAGCAGTTAAGTTTTTTCACTGCGAAGCTCAAGGATTTCATCCCCAGCCGTGGTAGCATTTTGGTGGGGGCAAAGTGCAAGAGCATTTGCAATTTACGTATAGAGGACCCCAAGTGGACGAAATCCTCATCTCCCACTACGGCATATGGTTTTGCTGTGTAAAAGCCCAGAACTTATTTTCAAGAACAATGGATCTATTCCATACTACCACACTTCACGCTGCTCAAGTGAAAAAGCCAATTGAGCCAAGACAGTGGTTGTGTGTGGTTCAATGATAATTCTTGGTGTTTTGCATCGCAGAAGAATATATGATTACGAGCAATGCAGTAGTGGAGGGCTCTAGAAATTTGCTTGATCTTCGGCTACATGCTCAGAGCAATTAAGTGCGTTGAAACTAAGTAATGCATTCAATAGTTTAAAAGACGCCAGTGAAACTGCATTAGCTTTCAGACTGTGAACATTCATGTTCTTTGCAGTTCTAGGTGTCTAATCGAGGATTACTTGAAGTGATACACTGTGTTGCAATTGTACAACTTGTCTTTGCAGCCTTATTATTACTGTATCATAAAGCACCTGTCCAGTAAATTACCAATTGGCGTGTGCACATTTGAGCGACGCTAAAATGCACACTTATTGACCCTGTAGTTATGTTGGCACTAAAACCCATCTTTTTTTAGGCCTTTTCCTTGTACCCCTGCCCAAGAATCAACTGTCCATACCACTTCCATCGTGTCTGAACGCATGCGTATAGTGTTAGATCGGGTATTTACTGCCCTGTAAGCCTGGTGCAGTAGGCCCGTTTCGTGGTGGCAAACCTGTGCTGCAGTCGGGCGCGGTAAGCGAGAGTTTATTTGCGTAGTGAATCGCACGGGAACCGTACTACGAAACGAACTGCAGGCACGCTCAGCCGCCGGATTTGGCGGCAATCTCGCTACATTCAATCCCGAGTTTGCCATCACTTGTGCGATACCAATGCCTCCTAGTTTATCTGTGTTTGCCGTATCCATATGTCACGTGTAAGAAGCAGCGGTGAAAGAAAGCTCTCGTGAGGACTGAAGCCCTTGGAAAAGTGCCTTTGCCTGGCTACTACCCGTACTGCTCCAGTCGTCACTTGGCGCGACACGCTTGCCTGGGCCTGCTGCTGCACGGCAGTACAGGGCTACGGCATGCGCGCCCTTGAAGTTGGGCACGAGGTGAGTTCCGGTTTCGTGCATGTTG